ATTGGTTACTTATAAATTGGGAAGATAAATTTAATAATCGATTGAATGTAACCGAAAGGATCAAATAGACTAACTGAGGATGCTGGATTACTTAATAAACAACGATCGTTATGTACGCATGTAGTTTATATCTAATGAACATTCATTGAATAAAGACAATGTTTTGTGTAATATGTGCTTGTGCATGCATCATTCTGTGAAAAGTACTCGAGAATACTATGTTGCTTCGTCCGACGATAATGAATCCGAACTAAGACATCTCCAAAGATAATCAACCCGCTTTACTATATCCGCAATAACTATTACTAATACTAATGCTGCTTTTACTTCTGCTAGTGTCACCATTACTCTTACTATAAATACTGCTTGCACTGTTGCTTCTAATATTGATGAATTTATTACTGCAACAATATCACTCTGGCTCTTTTAACCGTCTGTAGTTTCTTCCTTATGGTACGATTGCTTGATTATTTGAAACAATCAACTGCAGAACGATTATCGAATCGTGTCACTAAGCCACAGTTTTGAATAGGTATTCATTCGCATAGAAGCATTCATGTTGATTTTTCTCTGCTGCCGTTATGATTTACCATTTTACAAGTTGAAGCATAAGTCTTGTAGCATAATATGTTCTGAGGAAAGTGAAGTGCAATTACAAATTTCAACAAATTCTAAGAAAATCGTCCAGCAAAACAATATCATTCATTAATCAGTGACATGTTTAATTTGACTGAATGTTATCAAGCACAATAAATATTAAAATTATTCTAGCTGGATCATACCGATCAATCGCTTTTTCACCTATACGAGTAACTCCTCGCTTGTTTTTCCTCATTCATGAATTATCTTACCAACAAGAAATATTCTCATCCATAAAGCATTGTTTGGATATACAATTTCTTGTAGATGTTGAAAAATCCATGGGCGCTGTTCCTTCGAAAAAAAACCACGGTACTGACTGCAAACTTAAATTCATCGGAGATAACGATTTAAGAAATTCAACATAATCGAACACTAGCTCTGCAATTATATTTAGGAAACATGAAATCAGCATCAAGTGGTGTTCTCATCGGAAATTAAGTGCACTTGTATCGGCGATACCTATAGCTATATCAATGCGTTTATGTGTACGCACACGCTGATGTGCTGAGTGCTGCTCATTTGGTTAAATGTGAGCGTTATGCAATTAAAACTGTTGCAATAGAAGAAAACCAGCCGACTCTCGACTCTATCTGTGACTGACTCTCAGTTCATGAGCATGAGACGAGGATTATATAAGTCTAAACGATATATTATACAATCCAGTCTGCATTCGACTGCAATGAACAACCATCAATATACTCGGCGTTTTAAGCGCTGTGCTGAAACTACTTTCGAAAACAATTTCCCACATCTCTCTATGTTCATCTTCTTAGCAAAACATTGTCAACCTTCAAATGCAATAATTTCTGAATCCATATTTCCCCTAGTCGAATATTTTTGTGGTTCTCTCGTAAGAGATCATAGCAAATTAGTTGAAGATAAAAACAGTAACATACTGCTTTTGTGTGAATTTCCCTGACCAGTGATGCAGCTATTTGATGGATAAATTATGGCATAAAGTGAGATTTAAAATTTTGGCAGAATTATTTTTTGTGGAGCGAAAATTCAGTAAAAATTTTACACTTCATAAATGAACATTTCGGTTTTGCTTGAAGGGATACAACGCATTTGAGTAGGTGAAAAATGAAATTGTGGTGCATGAAACGTTAGCTCAATGACTGAAGATGTTTCACCCAGTAATTTCGATAACATAAAATGATCGAACCATACGTGTGTATTTTTATGAAGCAAACGAAAGAGAGTGATGCAACAGAAAGACCAACAGTATGAATACTCTAAAGAATCAGTTAGTACAATAATGCTTTGTTGATCGAGTCGTCACCTATTTCGAGCATAATTAAGGCACACAATTTCAGTGAGTTTCTTCAAAAGGACTGAACAATCCATTTGTGAAATGAGTTGTCAGTTTAGAATAGTTGTTTGGCATTTGAAAAGTATGAAATTGAGTGGTTGGTTGAAATGAACGATAAGATGAATTGATGAATAGATAAAAGAAGAGCGAAGATGTCGATAACGGAATTAAGTAATTTCGTTGAGGAGTAGTCGGTAGTGAATGGCAGTCGTTGACAGCGTCGTCACAAAATAAGCGAATTCAAATAATTTATGCAAATGTGAATGCGATATCATAAAACGAAACTGAATTAAAATAAATCGAGTTTATTGACTTGATGAAAAAATCAATGATTTAACTAGTTCTCGCCGAGATTCTAAAAATCGAGACCACTAACGAATCGATCTCTCAAAAGTCACAACAAAAGTTTTCGGNTTTTTTTCTTTTCGAGCTTGATTTGTAAGAACGGAAGTTTTTTCCTTTGAACTCAGAAATCGACTGAATTGTCAAAAGGAGTGCACAAAAGCGCATAACGGCAATGTGTTCCAAAAAAAAAAACAGAGCCGAATAAACACTGTTGAAAGATTTCATCAATGAAAGAATGAAGGCGAAAGACTCGACGTAATCTCACGTTAGCACTCTTCCATCGCATGCAAACTCGTGAAATGAATTCGCGACTAACCGCAAAATTCTCCCTATTTATCAATACGCAAACAGTTCACGTTTTAAAGTATCATGATCAAATACATCACAGAAGAAATGATCAGCTGTTCACAACGGAAAATGGGAGTGGAACAGATAAATCGGGTTTGAACGATGGGTAAATGTCTTGTATTGATTTTGTTTAGATTGATACGAGGCGAAGATTCGACTACAGCATGAAGCATCTCAAGCTCGATGGTCACTGATAGCTTTTAAAAGAGACAAATCACGGAAAATTGTGACCACTCAACTGCATACGTAAATTAGAAGAGTTATTGGAAACAACAGATGAAGTTCTTCGAAAAATATTTTGCCAACGCAACAATAAATTTGAACATTTTCGTTCGAAACGAATATGAGGAATGATGATAAAACGTTTCATGAATTCCCATCAAAGTATGGAATATTCATAAGAATATTGTTGCTTTTTCGAATAAATCATCTTCATTCGAATAAACGCTCCCAGAAGCGATAACGCTTATTTTGCACTTGAGAATTTCTATTCTCGGAAAAAATATTACAGTTCTCAAATCGCTATTCTCATTATTGTTTCATTTAATCTAACTTACACTGCTCATGTTTTATCCTAATTATCGTATTTTTATAATAGTCCTGTTGCTGCAGATTCTCCTACTTCGATTACAATGTACAAATGCAGTTAATTCAAAAATTTTTGTCTGACATTTTAAACTTGAAAATTTTATCGTCACCTTGAATACTGATCGTGAGCGTTCTCTCGTAATTACCCAAAACAAATGTTAGAAATGACACAACTCAAAATGATTATTAGCATCATTTTAGCGACACTGCCTCAACAATGAAGCTGCTGAAAGCAGGTTCTTTCTCTTTTGTCGGCTGCATATTCAAAACTTCAGTCTCATCACATGCTGAGAAGTTTCTTATTCGAAATCAGAACGCAGTTTGATGCCACCCAATGCCATAAGTTTCTTTTTCTGATCCTATTCACAGACATAGTGCACAATCTGATAAAATCTTAATCAGGAGCAAACAGCTGCACAGTTTAATTGGAAGATGAATCCATCATTTGTCCCACGATGATTTTAAAAAATCAATTGGTGTTGGCTTGAATTGAAATTTTGCTCACATATTTAACTCTAAGCACTGCTCCAGGCTAAATAGCTCAACAATCAGGATGACNAAAAAAAAAGAAGAGAATTTGCGTAATCCCCTCACTGATGATCAATTCAAAAGTTTACAGCATAAAAGTTTACAGACTGATTATTCGAGTGATTGACTGCATTACTCGAGCAACATTTGAATGGCTTCAGAATTTATTTTCATACAATTTTCAAATGATACAACAAACCATTCGATTTTATTCTATCGAATGCGTTTGCAATTAGCTCTTCCAAACAAGAATCGTTTCGCTAAATAATTTATTTTTCAATGAAAATTCTTCATTCCTCTCATGTGGCCAATCAATTTTAGAACTGATCCAAAACGCTTCACAAATGATATCCCACTAAAAATTCATGAATGCATTAGTCTATCTCGGAAGAGTACATGTAATACGATTTCTCGTGCGTTTCAGCCCGCTATGCCGACGCAGACAATCCATTTGATCACACTTGTTCATTGTTCCCGAAAGATGTTGGCGAGTAAAAATTGAACGTTCGCTTAATTGGCATCCATGAGAAAGTTCAGTGAAAATGTGATCGATAGGTTATATGACGAACCTGTTCA